ATGATCCATCCAATATGGAAACATTTCCATAATTTCCAATACTATACTTACAACTACTCACAAGCGACCAATTCTCGTCGAACTTTGAATTGTCCTTTGATAGTTGTTTAATTATTTTAGTCAAAATCAATTCTAGTCCCTTTTCCCTCTAAATGCGCTAGACATTTGGAAAATTTTAGAATGGTCAAACATTAAAACATTTGCAATCGATCCTATACCCGAAGCGTATGGAACACGACGCATAATGTTTTATTTGCTATGTTCTCAAAATTCGAATTGTGAAGAGGAATGCCGTAATCATAATCTAAATTTTAAGAACACACTATGTACCTTTGACTAAATTTATTAACATTCCACAACCTAATCCTTTAGATTTGAAATGAAGCATAATATTCTCTCCCTTAATTATAGCAAAACAACTTTATAACCCTTACGACCTTGCAAGGTATAACTCTTGTTTTCTATAATTATTATTGCCAACTTGCAATACATTCCATAATAATCATACAATCATAACTTTTATGCTCCCACTATCATGATGATTACTATAAAACATAACACTTATGCTCCCACTAGCTTCGACATGTATTCATAAACATCTTAACTTCCAGAAAAACAATACTTATTGAATTTCTTAAGTTCATGTTTCTAATACTTAATGCTTTGAAAATCCTTTTATCAAGGCTTCTTGAACTTATACACCTTTTCCTTAGATAGTTTATATGTGTGTCTTAACGATTAAGACTAATTGCCAAACCTCACAATTCGAATCATGGAAAGGGATACCGTAACCATAATCAAATTTGAGAATGCAATTTTACAATCACTATCTTCTTAAAATATTTCTTAGTGAAAGCATTTCCTCACAACCATTTTCATGAAGGAGGAAATCTTATGACACTTAGATTTTAAACTGTGTATGTGTTCCTATCCATATGAATTTGTTAAAACCAAAGTTTACAACAAATTCAGATTCATATGGACCGAACTTTCTTAATCTTGATTTCTTGCCTCATGGTAGCACAGCTGCCCACCACGTCTTCCAAGTAGTTTAGCATCTCATCTTTTCCTATCAATGTACTTTTCATTGATTAAGGTGTTTTGCCTTTTATGTGTTCAAATGAGAACTCATAAAACTCACATGCATAATTAACTCAATTTGAATGGCATAGAAACAAAATAACGTCAACACGATAGGTCGTGAACCTCAACTCGTGTGCTAGTGATGATTGATAAGGTTTATTTGATTTGTTCTTGAAACTTTTCAAGACCATTAAGACTCCCACTGACTCCTTGACATATAAGCTTCTTTTGTCAATAAACATTTCTTGACAAACAAATATTCAAGAGTTAGTGTAGTTTTTATCAAAACACTTCATAAATTGGTTGTAGTTGGTCTTTGTCTTATCCAAGACATCACAACTTTCCACATTTAATGAATGTTATAAACCTTTCACTTTTTGTCACAATCTTAACTTTAAGACTTGTTATTGGAACGAAGTATGATAGAATTCTTGATTTAACCATTTCTTCAATCCTTGATTCCTCTTCTTAAACATACAATTGTACTAAGACTCACTTAGAGGATCAATTGAGATATGGTTCTTAATCATTAAGACCTATCATAAAGTATAAAAGCTACTCTCCCTTCTTCTTAGAATGGAGAAACTTTTATCTTTTTGCCTACTTGATTCTTCTTATTCATTTTGCTATTGATTTAAACCTTTTCAATCAATTCAAAATTACACTTAATCCTATAAGTATAATCATATTTACTAAACCTTTAGTAAATCATGATGATAGTCTTTGTTACTCTTATGGTGCACTTAATCAACACGCAACTTTGTGTGCTTGATTTCCTAGTTCTTCACCTGACACTTTGTCAACGAATTAGTCTAATTTCCAAATATGAAATTTCTCATTCATCATGCAACAAAGTTGCGTGATTCCAAATTTCTGTCCAATTGAAACTTTGGGCAATGAGAAACTCCCCCTGTTTGGTAAATTCTCGACATTTCCATAAATAACATAACTAAGAATCATATCCATTCGTTGTAGAAATATGCTAATATCAATTTTCATAATGATTTCATTGCAAGGAAATAAACAAACAAATAAATAAGTCAAACAAAAATTTATTTTATTTATAAACGCAGCGGAAAAACATTTGTCCTTACAATGCAAAATCGATTGAAAACTATGTAAAAATGAAAATTTCTAACAACTCTATCATAACTATCTAAGCTCAAAATCTAATCTTCAAGTCCATGCGATCGAGATCCATCTCTTGGTGATTAGATTCATCTTGCTTTCTCAACAAGCTTCCTTTCTTTTCACCGATCCTGCTAAACACTCAAATGCAATCTTATTACATCATGTATTAAGAATCAATGAATAGGAACTTAACGGAGTTATATAGTGGATTTTACCTAAAGTGGAGCCATACGTTTTGACTCTCCCATCTCTTAGATCTCTTAGGTAATTAGGGCAACTTCGTCTCCAATGCCCCTTCTCTTGGCAATAAAAGCAAATTGACTCTTTTGGAACAACACATGGAACTACTTCAGACATCGCCTTTCTCTTATGATCAAACTTTTCGATCATTGCATGTCTTTCATTGCCATTGTCTATATCCGTAGAGGTCTTGAAGGCAGATTCACCAATCAACTTTGCTTTTCTATTGCGCCAAACCATTGCTGATTCAGCAGCAATAAGCATGTAGGTGAGATCTATAAGTGTCACGTCGTGATTCATCATATAGTACTCTCTTACGAACTCACTATATGAGTTGGGAAGTGACTGAAGAACCCAATCAACAGCCATCACTTCACTAACAACGGATCCCATCATTCTTAGTCTATCAATGTGCGACTTCATCCCTAGGACGTGTGCACACACCGACTTTCCTTCTTTGTGTTTACTTGCCAAAAGGGCTTGAGTGATATTGAACCTTTCAATTTTACAAATTTTTGGGTTAGGGAGAATAATTGGAGGAGGAGGAGGAATTGAAGCATGATTTCTTGTTCCTAGATCGAATCGTGGAATATCATCTTCATGTGGAATACTTGTTCCACGGGATTCGGGAAGACCATAGTTGTCGAACTTTGACATCTACAAAAATGGGAGAAAACAAAATTCAAGTTAGTTGATTGATTGAGTCCTTGGTAAATCACCCAAATGAAATTCCAAGGCTAGGACCCAACACAATATGCTACAACCTAGAAAAGGGATGCCGTAATCCAGTTGTAGAATATTTGAAGGAAAGTGAATGACGATTCACTAACTTCCACCATGAAAAATGAAAAATTAATTGAAGTTTTAAATCTATGAAAACTCCTAGATCCTTTGAGATTCATTGAACATTTCAACGGCATGTTTAAATCTCGATATGCCCCTCTAGTTTGTGACTGGGATGTCAAGGATCACAAAGCGGGTGTGAATAACCATGCAAACTACATGGTGCCCTCACATGTTACAGTCACCTATTCGATGTGATGGTAAACCACACACGCTCCACCGAACTATGACAAACATTGAGTCACCCTTTTCTACCTTTGCTTAGAACCATTTAGTGTGCCGGTACACCACACATGCTCCACTAACGTCTTCCCAAGGGCACAAAGTGTAATTTCATGGAATTGCATCAATTCACTTTTGCCTAAGTTACTAAGATTGGGAATTTGAAAAACATTTAGTTACTTTTGTACTTCATTATACTTATAATAGAAGGTTTCATCCTATCCTTCCCGTTCGGCTAACGACCCTCCACTAGTCAAGAGTGCGGTGGGTAAGAGTGGATACCCATTCAATCGCCATTTTATAGGCAATTTCCTTAAACACCCCTTATAGACCAGCTTCGTGAATGAGGCCTACTAACGGTAAGACTGAATTTTAGTTATACACATATATAATGTTATACATAGTATAAGGGTGTATTTTATGCTTTTAAAATACTAGGTGGTTTAATTTTATAAATTACACTTTTAATTTAATTAAATGTAAACCATAACATTATGGATTTATTAACTCTCTCTTAATTATACATTTAATCAATTTTAATAAAATCATAAGGGTGAAATTTGAACTTTTCAAAACTAGGGTTTTAGAACTTAACATTTTAAAATTAAAATTTTAATCTAAATTTAAATTCCAAAACTTGAGGGCAAGTTTTTGAAACTTTTCAAAACAATTAGGTTTCAATCTCACTTTAAAATTTTCGAAATTTAATACCATTTAAATTAAAATTTCAAATATTAAAACTCTTGATTTAATAATTATCTTAAACTATTAATTTAAATTATTAAATCATAAGGGATTATCTAAATCATAAAGGATAATTACCAATTAAACAATTAAGATATCCTAATCCCTTAAATATCTCTATAGATTTCGAAAATCATGGGATATGATAATTCATAATCTTTAATTACCATATATAACCATTAAAGGATAATTACAAGATATGGGATAATCCAAATCCCTAAAAATTAGGATCTTATCTTGGGGAGGAGGCTAATCTCGAAAATCAAGGGTTGGATAACCCTAGAATTCGAAAACTTGGTGGCTAAGGAAAGGGTTTAGGAAACCCTAACCAATTTCGAAAATCAGGGTTCAAGAACCCTAATTTCGAAAATTCAAGCTTCCTAGGGTTTATTGGCCATAAACCCTAATTTTTCAAGTTCATACATTTGTATCATGCTAATTGAAAACAAAAAACCAATGGCTCTGATACCACTGTTGGTTTTTTATACAAACGATCCTATGTGAACATGCAACCCTAGCATTGGATCTATGTTTTCACTATTAGATACACAACATTATGAACACATAAAGAAACCCTAATTCTAGCATATAAGTAATCATATTAACATAAGAATAGGTTAATAATATTACCTTGATTGTTATGTAGCAATAACAATCCCAAATCTCCTTGTATTGACTTTGGAAGGCTTAGAGTCACAAGTGTCACTCCTCTAATGGCTTACAAACACCAAAAGCAAATGGAGAAGGTATAAAGAGAGAGGAGAGAGGTTAGAATTCATCCTTAGGACTTCTTGGGAATGCATACACGAATTCATGAGCCAAGGGGTGTTTATATAGGTGTAGATATAGGGTTTCAGTCATTATCCTTATCTAGTTGCTTATCCACAAAGCAACCCATAAGATAATCCTTGAATCCTTATCATAGTCGAATTCTAAGGCCTTATCACCTCAAATTCGTGCACCTATATTTAAGATAATCCTTACCTTATTTTGTAACTATCACATAATTACAAATCAGCCCCTCTAGTTTAATTAATTACACTTGATCACAAAACTAATACCTAATTAATTATTAACCAATATTAATTAAACAAATATGGTTTCTCCTTTAATATATTATTCTGATGACATATTAATAAATCATATTATCCTCTCTCTATATATATTTCTCCAATCAAGTTGCTTTGGTGAAGGCAACCCAAAAGGACCATGCACCATCGGGTCAAGAACATACCAAAATAGTTATGGACAGACACTAATCCAACACTATGTACTAGACTAAGCCCTAAAACCCTCCTAAATTCAAATCTCATATCTTCTTCATTTTAACTTTGTTTTCGACAATATTTATATCCGTGGAAAGGTAATGTTAATCTCTACAATCGTATCATCTATCCTTGGCACAAGTACGAACCTTCTAACTCCCAGATTGCAAATCAGTGGGCTTGGCCCGCTTGGTTGCCGGCTGACACTGTTTCGGTCGCCGATCCCTCGCCTGAGACTCAGCCTCCTCCCTAGTTTAGGTCTCCAGCTCTATCTCCATCTTCCAGGCATTTGCCTGAAGCTCAGCAAATGTCTAATACATCGAGTTAGCCACGAACTCCCGTATATCCGTCCTTAAAATGCTCAGGTAGCGGCACATACGTGCCTGCTCGGAGGACACATGCTCTGGGCAAAACATCACCCACTCATGGAACTTCCTTGTAATCACTATGACAGAATCAGTACCCTGCTTAAGGGTCAAAAACTCCTGGGCCAAACGCTCCCTTTCCACCTGGGGAATGTACTCATATCGGAACATAGCAGTGAACCTCTCCCAAGTCACTGCAGCAAGCTTAGCAGGCGAATAATGCACCGTCACAAACTTCCACCAATCCTTCGCTCCTAAGTGAAGCTGGTTCAGCAGGAACCGGACCCTCAAATGCTCAGGAGATGAGAAAGTAAAGAAACATCCCTCTATGTCTGATATCCACTTCATCGCTGCAATCGGGTCCTGGGTCCCATCAAACTCTGGTGGTTTTGTGTTGTTGAACTCCCGGAACAGCAACACATCACCACCCTGCGGTCTAGCCGCAGCTACAACTGCAGTGGCTGCAACAACAACAGCCTCAGAGAGATCAGCATATCTCTCATCGAAGGCCTCTATCAGGATGTCTTGATAGACCTGAACATCTCTGGAATCTCGTCGCGGATGGCAGCAACCACCTCATCATGAATCATCTGGCAGAGCTCCTCGTCGCTCACACCCCTCCACTGGTCCTTGGTCTGTGACGTGTCCCTACCATGATGCCTCCCTGAAATACAACACATGATATCAGTAATTTGCTCGGATGTACACACACTCGATATCCTAACCATACTTGATCTCTGGTACCCTAAGGATTCTTACTTGGGTTGGGCACTGACCTGGTGCCTTCGATAGTACGGGCCCAATACTACCGACCACACCGACTTAGCATTGACATCAAGTCCTCCTCCGAGAGCCTAAAATCTGACGTATGCTATTCTCTCTATTCATGTGCTACTCACTAGCAAATCTTTCATAAGCTTCTTGCTGCTATCTCAACACTCTCAAGCATCCCCAGTAGCAAAACCCCTAGACTAAGCCATCATATATTAGGCCACTCTAGTCCTAATAAGAATACCTAGTCTTACACACAGCTCTGTTCTGTTTGTCTCAAAACTCTTTTTACTCCTTTTTAAAAAAAAATTACTTTATTATCAAAATTTTCCTCAAATCCTCAGTTTGAGTTCAGATACGTCCGAAGATGCATCCGAATCCCTCAAACCAAGGCTCTAATACCAAATTGTAACACCGTAAAATTTAAAACAAATTTTTGACATTTTTAAACACACTTTTCCAAACACATTTATCAATAAAACCCCATTGTATCATAACTTTGTTTAACAAATATTTCCCAAGATCAAAATACATAAAAAAACCATACGTGTGTACGAATCATGCTGGCGCCTTCCCGCGATTATCACTGGTACCTGAAACACATAACACATAACACTGTAAGCATAAAGCTTATTGAGTTCCCCAAAATACCATACATAACACATACTAGCCACTCGAGGCTATAACTCTGTGGGCCTATGGGCCCTAACTCTGTGGACCCTCTAGTCCTAACTGTGTGAACCTTCCGGTTCTAACTCTTATATACTCTGATATACTCATGACATAAACCACATAGAAATAATGCAGTACAACACATCACATAATTGCACACAGTAACTCTGTTACATAACTCTAATTACCACTCAGGGTAATGTATAGTGAGAAGACTCGGTAGAAATACGATCTAGCCTCCGCCTAATCACATAAAGTAATACTCTCATAAATATATCTCTCATAACTAGACTGAACCCTCTCTAGGCACCCTCAGAAGGGTAAAAAACCATTTAACCCCTCCTTTGGCTCAGAGGCCCTCATTGTTGACAAAACCCTAAAAGTCAACCAAAGTCAACGGTCAAACTTTGACCCAACTCTTCGAGTACACTTGGGTAACTCGGCGAGTCCACATGTGTCCACTAACTCTTTAGTCCCGTTTGATGCGTCGAGTCCCTCCCTTTACTCGAGAAGGGACCAATTTCTCCACATAACCATCCTCAAAATGTGTTAGAAAACCCTAACTCTAAGAATCAACACCAAAACTGAAGAAGGTCCGAAAAAATACATCAAGATGAAATCCCTAGACTCTGAAACCACTAGAATCGCACCTCCTTCAGTCTCCTCTTGCTCTAGATCACCTTGTTCTTGCTAAACCAAAGATAGAAATAACAAATATAGCTTCTCCTTCCTCCCAAACGATTTAGCTCACTTAGGGTTCTCTCAAGGGACTGGTAGCCGCAATGGGAGACTATGAGTGCCCTTAAATAGGCTCCAAACCCGGGGGATTAGGGTTTCATTAAACAGCGTGGACTCGCCGAGTCCAGTCGCGAACCCAGATAATAATCTGCAACGCTACTCGGCGAGTCTAAGAATCAACTCGCCGAGTTCCTTCACCAACTCCAAAAATAAAATATTAGAATAATATACCTGGGAATCCGGATGTTACAATATGTAGAATCATGTTACTGCTAATGACCACTATATCTCCACTTTTGAGAAGTCCATTACTGAACTATCTAAAGCTTCTACGTCGTCCTCCACCTCTCCCTTTCAAGCTTTTAGTGATCAAGGCCAACGTCAATTCGATTCGTTAAGCTCTGACATAGCAAATTTATCCAAATCTAATTTTGGGAAAATCAATAGCTCATCAGGTGACATATCTTCCCTTCAGAAGATTATTCAGTTTCCAGTCGATGAAGTCAAGGCTATCAAGCAACAATCTTCCTCTTCACATCTATGTGCTCTAAACCAAAAGGTTCCATCAACTGATTCCAAACTTGACTTGATCTTAGCAAAGCTATCTGGTTCAAGTGAGAGGCCACCTGAACTAGAGGGGGAAAAGGTCGACAAGAACAGATCAAGTCAGTCTCCTATCATACACCAAATTCCAGTCAGTTGACAAAATCGCTCCCGATGCACAATTAAAGGCTCAACAGAACAGAGCCATGTTAGCTAAGAAAGAAAAGGAGCTCATTCATCAACAAGGGATCAAAGATCCATCTCTAAAATCTCCAAGAAGGAAAGATGTCCACTTCTCTGAACCTATCATCATATCAGAACTAACCTCTCAGTCAAAGCTTTGTTATAATGATCCCAACGATAAGGGAAAGCAGGAGATTATCTTCAAATCAAAATAGGAATTAGCTAAATAAACTCAAATGCATATAGATGAAGAATTAGCTAAGCAACTGAAAGCTAAGGAATTAAAGTAAAAAAATGAGATGTTTCGCAAAAAGATATCTTCAGAGATCTTGACTGAAGAAAGGAGTACATGGGATGATAAACAATTTAGAGTGTTTTCACCTAAAAACACTATCTTCTTTATCCCTGATAGAGATTCCTATCAAAAGATAAAGGTCATCAAGCCCACAAATCCTTCACATCTCCTTCATACCTCACTAAAGTAAACTGGGATATTCCTACACCCCCGAATGGTATGAAGTTTAACTTATGGCCAAGTGCAATTTATCTAACTGGGGTTAATTTAGACATTGAAGACCCAAAGAAAAGATTTTTTCTGAAGAAACCAATTCAAGTTATCCTTGTATGATGAAAGTTCAAGATTGCTTCAATCAACAAGATTGACATATAGGAATTTAGAAAAATTCCATTTCCATTCTTTCAAGGAAGAAGGTCAGACAACTCTGAGTTCATGTTTTCTGAAGCTGATTTCTCTAAAATAAACCAAGTTGATATCAGATCACTAATCATTTGGTTGAAACAAAGAGTGAGTACAGATAAAACTTATGCAGATGTTCTACAACACCTAAGGAAATATGTGCTTGACATCGTTATTGATTTCAGTGTTGACTGGGAGATTGGACAGCTAGGAGATAAGGAAGCTGAGCAACCAAATGTGAATCTAAATATGGAGAACGAGTCGCCTGGGAACATTCTAAACAAACCACATAGAGGTGTTGTATTCTCTTCTAAAGGTCGACTAAAATTCATGAGAATTTCCCAAAAACATCTATTCTCTTCTGAATTCATTAAATTGCTGAGAGTGAAGACCGTTGAAGAACTTACATGGTTTTTAGTTTTCCACCAATGGTTAATAAACTTGAGAAACAAAGTTTTGATTATGTTTTTTTTATTATGTTTTTTTTTCTTTTTTTTCCGAACATGTGGATGACGTTTTTGCTACTGGTAACTTATCTTATTGCTTAAATATATCTTCCTTGTTATTACTTTTATTTTTACTCCTTATTTCAGTAACCATCACATAAGGCGGAAGTGTCTGAATATATATATATATATATATATATATATATATATATATATATATATATATATATATATATATATATATGATTGTCACTTGAAATAAGTTGAGTCCTTTTATATGTCTCTCTAACAAACATGATCAGAATGTTTCAGGTTGGAAAGATGTTGAAGATTCAACACGTGTTTGAAGAATCAGATGTTGGAGCACTTGAAGCTTACATGGAGCACCTGATGTTGACATGGATCACTTGTTGAATGCTAGTTGGATCATTATGATCTCAGATGGCACATCTAGAACATATCTGGAGCGTTAACACACTAATGGATCATCTGGAATATTGATGGCTCATCCGAAGCATTGTTGACTCATCCACAACTCTATTACTCAACAAGAGTTGATGGCTCAACATGAATACATGGTGGCTCAACTCACGTAAATGGATCAACATGATCAAATTGATGGCTCAACAAGACTGCACATGACTCATCATGTACAATGAAGGAACGTCCAAATGCTCAAACGAACATGAATTTCGTCCATGGTCCATTATGAACATGTGGTGGTACATCTTTAAGTTCAAGTTAAAGTCCAACACTCAAGTAACAACTCAACTTGGTCAACAACACTTCTAGAAGTTGATGACATCTAAGAAGACAATTAAGCAACATGATGCTCATGATGCTCATCATTTTTTCAATGTTGATTAAGAAGGTTCAAGAATTATGAAGACTCATAAATTGGATGGAACCCTAACGGAATACTAACGGAATTGTGTAGTATTTTTACTCCAAGTATACAAAAATACCTAAACGCTAGAAACTGTAACCACGAGTAGAACAAAATATAAGTAGTTGGGTGTTGTATACTACAGTTAAACCTGGGCAGTTATGTAGTCGATTCTAGGGTTAATATAGCATGATCAACTATATTCATTCGAGACACGGCCAACATGTGCTTGGGAGTGACTATGGTGTGCAGTAGGCCTATAACTTACCAAATATCCAAACAATGAGTCATCATCGCAACAAACCATAAAATACTATAGGAGCATTTTAGCCAATGTCGAATACGTTGTAGAAATTCATTCTAAGTGTTGCTACTCATTCTTTCCTTAGCAATAGTTTACATGTTCAAGTAACTCTTTCCTAAATTAATGCTTAGTAGAACACCCTAACTGCCATAATGAAATATCTCTTGTTTCATATCTCTTGATTCTATCTAGAGGACTTACCATCCACTCTTTCCTGATCATTTTAGATCAAGATCCCTCCAAGGAAAAGACCCAACTCAAAGAAAAACAATCCCCCACCACCACCTTCTCTATTTGATCCTTCCATGTTCCAAGCAGCTGTTACTATTGATGTGGTTGCTGCCATGTGACAAATGAACCCCGATGGGTCAGGCAGGCCAGGAGGTGGTACTCAACCCCAAAACCAGGAAGGTAGTCACTGACACTAGAAGGAGTGTTCCTATAGAGATTTTATGAACGTGAAACACACACCTTTCAATGGAACTAGAGATGTTATTGCTCTGACTCGATTCTTTGAGAAGATCGAGTCTATTTTCGAAATCTGTGCCTGTTCTGAAACTGACAAGGTGAAGTTCTCCGCCTGTACTTTCACTGATAAAGCCCTAACTTGGTGGAATGGCCGAGTCAAATCCTTACCCTTGCCTATAGCCAACGCTATGGGTTGGGAGAGCATGAAAGAGCTTCTACTTGCTAAATACTGCCCACGAGGCGAAATGCAGAAGCTGGAGCATGAACTCTGGAACCTAAAGATGAAGGTTTCTAATATCGCCGCCTACACCTCCACATTTGATGACCTAGCGCTTCTCTATTCAGGAATGGTTGCCCCGGAAAGCAAAAAGATTGAGAGATTCATCTAGGGGCTGACCCAGCCAACCAAAAGGAAATGATTTAGCTGTGAAGCCCGACACCTATGACATCGCCAAATGACTAGCGCAAACTCTGATTGATCATGGTGACGATCTCGAGGAAGTGGCCACCGCTCCTGAACCGGATAAAGGGAGCGGTGAAAATAAGAAGAAATCCTGGAGCAAGTGGAAGGGTCAGAATTTGCAAGGATCCTCCAAGAAGCAACAAATTGTGGTAGTCCACGCTGCTACTACCCCTGCTGTGGTTTCTGTCGTCGCTTCTACAACTCAAGCACCTACGAGTAGGTATGTTGGTACCCGCCCTAAGTGTAACAAGTGCAACTATCATCATCTCACTTCCAGCCCGTGCCGTGAGGTTCTTTGCAACAACTGTGGCAAGAAAGGTCACCTTGCACGAAACTGCAAAACACCAACCCAACCAACCAATCAAGCTTCCGGAGCGAGTGTAGGTCAGGCCTACTACAGCTGCGGTGAAGTCGGGTATTTCAAGCGAAACTGCCCCAAGGCAGCAACAATTGGCAACACCGGGAGAGTTCTAACTATGAGATGAGATGAGGCAGTCGCCGATCCCACCATTGTCTCGGGTACGTTCTTTCTCGACAACTCTTATGCTTGCATCCTTTTCGATTCTAGTGCTGAAAGAAGTTTTGTTATCCATTCATTCAAACATCTCCTTTAACATAGTCCTCAACCACTAACCGAAACATTTACCGTCGAGATGGCTAACGGTGAGAAAAATAATGCTAATGATATATTCATAGGTTGTACCCTTACCCTGAACAATCATTCCTTTCCCATCGACCTAATGCAAGTTTTCGTAGTAAGATTTGATGTTATCATTGGCATGGATTGGTTGAGTCCCAATCATGCTGATATCCTTTCTTATGAAACAGCCATCCGTCTCAATCTCCCCTCTGGCCAAACTCTCATGATCTACAGCGATAAACTTAGCTCCAATCTTCGCATACTATCCTGTATCAAAGCCTAAAAACTCTTGCGAAAGGAGTGTTGCGCATTTCTAACTCATGTAATCGATGAGAAACACAAAGTTAAAGACGTCGAGAACATCCCCGAAGTCAGAAACTTTCCTGATGTCTTTCCCGAAGAGCTTCCAGGAATTCCTCCCGAACACCAAGTCGACTTTCACATCGACCTAATGCCTAGACCAAATCCCATAGCCAAGTCTCCGTATTGCTTAGCTCCAGCAGAAATGCAAGAGTTATCAAGCCAGCTCAATGAGCTGCTCGACAAGGGGTTCATTAGACCGAGTTCCTCACCTTGGGGAGCCCCGAAATTATTTGTGATGAAGAAAGATGGATCCTTTCGGATGTGTATAGACTACTGTGAGCTGAACAAATTGACCGTCAAAAACCGTTATCCTCTTCTTCAAACAGACGACCTTTTCGATCAACTTTAGGGAGCCAGTTACTTCTCGAAGATAGACCATAGATCAGGGTACCATGAGCTTTGAGTTCACGAGAATGATTTTTCCAAGACAACATTCAGGACTCGATATGGTCACTACGAGTTTGTAGTGATGCCCTTCGGTCTAACCAACACACTGACAGTGTTCATGGATCTGATGAACTGGGTGTGTCGCCCTTTTCTGGACATGTTCGTTATCGTATTCATTGACGACATACTTGTCTATTCCAAAAGAGAATAAGATCATAAACAACACTTGAGGATAGTGTTGGAAACTCTTAGATTGTAAAAGTTGTACGCTAAATTCTCCAAGTGCGAATTCTGGATTTGGAAGGTGGCTTCCTTGGTCATGTGGTAAGCGAGGAGGGTATACACGTGGACCCGTCCAAAATCAAGGCAATAGAGAATTGGTCGGCACCGAAGACTCTGACTGAAATCCGTCAATTCTTAGGTCTCGCCGGCTATTATCGCAGATTCATTCAGAATTTTTCCAGAATCGCCAAACCCCTAACCACTCTGACACAGAAAGGTGTACCCTTTTGTTGGAGTGAGAAACAAGACACCGCACTCCAAAAGTTAAAGCGAGCCATG